GAACCTTTTGAGCTTGACATGTCAAAAATTCAGAAAATGCCTAACTTGACTGCTGGCCTGTGACCCCCCCCCCACCCAAAAGGAAACAATTCTTTACATATTCATTTATTTTTAAAAAAATACAGTCCAATCGTGTGGTGCTATGTATATGAAGAAATGTCAAATAATTACAAAAATGAAATATGAGTAAAACAAACTCAGTTTCTTTGGTAACTCAAACAGGAAGAATAGTTGTTTGAGTGTTGGTGAATGCTGGCATGTCACCCAAAACATTGTGGTGTATCACCTTTGACACGTGTGTCGTAGGTTTGCCATCACTGCTTTAGACTAATTTGGGCAGTCACTCAGGATTCCCAGTAGCTTCTAAGACCCAATCCAGCATATGCATCTACTCTTATATAATTAGCCTTATATAAAAACTTATATAAAAACCCTCCTATATAAAAACTTACTTCATCATTCCACAATAGTTGGAGTCTTAATAATAATATTATACATTGCTATATAAGAATCGCTACTAAAAGCAATTATTATCAAAAGAGTAATCCAGTTATAACAAAAGCAGATTAAAACAGCATAAAAAAACCTCACAGCACATGAACATGTCATCTCAACAAGACGAAAGACCTGACCAAGCAGGATTGCCAATAGAAAAGTAAATAATAGACTTAGCCAGCTTCTCTCATAACAGAATTCAGTACCTGGGCCCAGCTTCTGAAAATACTTTATTGTTTTTCTGTCAGGTAGAAAAAGAACAGCCTTTGCTGAAGAACATACTGGAGAAGCTGGCCTTTCAACTAATTTCATTCCAGAATTGTGTCTGGAAACCAACTGGCAGCCAAGGAAGTTGTTATAACAAGGGAGTAGTACATAGTAAATAATTGCATGTAATTTTCTGAATTCACAGAAGTTTTTGAAGTTATCCAAACACATAGCGCACTGCTGTAATCAATTGATATGTGTAACCAAAGCTGCTTATCCAATTTTTTTACAAGAGCGTGGGCGAACTCTAAATTTGTGTTCAATGTCATTAATTCAAACTAACAACTTCAATTACATTCTCTCATCCACTCAAGTATCGGTGCCTTGCCTCCTGGAGCCATCCCTGCTAGGCATACTAGAAGGTGACAATAGTTCATGCTATGAAAAGGTTTTAAGAGATTGTTCTCCCTGATAAGTTTTATTGATTTAAAATGTATTTTCCTAAAAATCACATAATGAAGATGTAAATGATACTTTCTTAAGTAATTAGATGCTGCTCTCTGTCTCAATCTAAGAAATCATTTTCTGGTATTGACATTACATGATATTTTCTTTAAGTTAAACATTAACTTGGTCGTTAATACATGAAGAAAATGTTTAGTGCTTATTTATATGTAATTCCATGAAATAAAATAATTTCAATTTAGTGGTAATTAGTTTACTAAAATTATCTCTGTTATTTCTCTGAATATTTACAAAAATAAAGCACAGGTAGAAAATAAAATATGCACTTACTTATATGAACATGCTTTCAGAATATAATATTATATGACCATTTACAGTAAAATAATTTATGAGTAAGCCTCTTAATTCCACAGTTGTATATGAAAGTAAAGTGAGCAATATTTACACATATTGAGCATTCTGAATACTGAACTATACCAAAGCCATAGTATTTCAACTTTTTTGTAGAGTTTAGCATTTTATTCTGAGCATAAAAATAAGATATTTCTTAATTTTACTTTCAGTTTTCCATTTTTTATTAAAAACATTTACAGACATATCTATAAGATGCAAACTTATCACAATTTTGCTTTTAGTTCCTCAGAGCATTTTGATATGACCATTTAAAATGGATCCCGAAGAGCAGGAGTTGCTTGGTGATTATAGATACAGAAATTATTCTTCAGCAATTGATAAAGCTTTGAGGAACTTTGAATCTTCAAGTGAATGGGCAGATCTCATATCTTCTCTTGGGAAACTCAACAAGGTAGTATCTGTCTTTTTTTAAATTATTTACAAGTTTTTTTAAATAAATTATGTTAAGGTATCAGTTTCATCTATCTAAACTATTTTTAATGAATAAAGTTTGGATAGTACAATATTAAAACATCTACAATAAAATGTCTCTTATAATTAAAAACATAGAGGCTACTAGTATTTTTTTTTTCAAAACTAGAAAACAGTTACAAAAATCAGATCCCAACTTTCCTTGTATTAGATTATTTCAAGTGCATTGGAGGAATATTGTATGATTGTTAGTATCTCTTTCAACACAGAAAAGGATTCTTTGATGTAGAACAAATCTTGTTCTTTATGCTGGTTTTAAGCAAAGAACAAATGGTTCTCTCTCTATATATCAGTATTTTAAAAGCTGGTATGAAGAATAAATAAGAAATATTAAGCCAACTTTATAAGGCAGATGATGAGAGCAAATCTGGTGTAGTGATTAAGGTAAGGTACCGGACTAGAAACTGGGAGACTGGGAGTTCTAGTCCTGCCTTAGGCACAAAGCCAGCTGGGTGAGTCCTTCTCTCTCAGCCCTACAAAGAAGACAGTGGCAAACCACTTTTGAAAATCTTGCCAATTGAACCTCAGAATTGTCCAGGGAGTTGCCAGGAGCCAAGACTGACTTGAAGACGTGCATACATAGGGCAGGAGAATAACGATTAAAAGAAAAAGTTATAGTAAAAGCAGAAATTACTGTCTTACACCTGCCAAGGAATACTACTGTAGTCAGTGATCTTTTGCCATGTTGTAATGTCTGTTATTTTCCTAAATCTAGTGCAAAACAGAAATAAAAATATGCATTATGGAAAGACAATCTCATATGATTGAAGTGTAAAACTGTAGTTCATTGTCATCTCAACATTTGAACAATGTTAAATCTAATGCCTCTTTCTTAGAAAAATATATTTTAAGCATATATTTATGAAATTGTAGAGTTAGCTTTTATCTGCATGTATTGTTATCTTTTATTTATTAAAAACATTGTACTTTGTTACCTTCAAAATGATTCAAATGCTGACACATTTGATCTGAAAAGAGGCATCTTTTCAAATACTTGACATCCTTTTTGTCTCTAGGTTTTTTTTAGAGGGGCATTGTCCAAACTCTGTACCACATGTTGCCGTAAGAGAATGAAGTCTAAAGAGAGAGTAAAGTTTACTTTACCAAACATAAACCTTATTACGGCTTGGGAGATTATTGGTTTTTGTATATTTGGGGGTCCTTCCAAGTATTAAATACAGTGAAATTAAAGTGAGAGCTCCTGTCTTCCTACCTCTGTGGCCAATATTAGCTATACTCATTTAAAGGCCTTTTAATCCCTTCAGTATTCTTAGGCTGCATATAGACATCACTCTTACCATATTTTATTTCAGATTTAATTGTTTCATTATCTTAGAACAATTTGTTATGTTTTCCATGTATGTTTATTTCCTTCCAATGTAATTGCAATTCTAAGAATGAAGCTTTCTTAAATATAGTTGTACTTTTTCCCCCCTGCCAAGTTATATTTATTTTTGTTATTGTTGCTGTTAGAAAAATCCCTAGGGGAGATACTTCATATGGGGTTGTAATTAATCACATTTGTTTCTTAGAGAATTAACAAGTCTAGGTGAATGTGGTGCTCTCTTTGTATTTCTTCTTATTTATGGCTGCTATTCATATAATTTTTAATATGCATTTTTTTAATCCTTGCTTGTCTGGAGAACAAAAATAGAATCATTATTTTAGTGGCTATTAAAAGAGAGGTCAGTAAAATGGCTATTTATTTACAGTGGGACAAAAAAGTATTTAGTCAGCCACCAATTGTGCAGGTTCTCCCACTTAAAAAGATGAGAGAGGCCTGTACTTTT